CTTTCACACGCAGAAGAAGGAGGGGGACCCAGAACCAAGGTGTGCCTGCCCTTATATAGATATTTTAAATTGCCCGCCCTACAGTCCAAGACCACCCCCAGAAACATCTTACAGTGGTACCTCAGGTTAAGTACTTAATTCGTTCTGGAGGTCCGTCCTTAACCTGAAACTGTTCTTAACCTGAAGCACCACTTTAGCTAATGGGGCCTCCTGCTGCCGCTGCACCGCCGGAGCACAATTTCTGTTCTTATCCTGAAGCAAAGTTCTTAACCTGAAGCACTATTTCTGGGTTAGCGGAGTCTGTAACCTGAAGCATATGTAACCCGAAGTACCACTGTACTTACATCACAGAAGGGGTGTAGCCCAAGACCACCACCCCAGATATATCATACCTACATCACAGAAAAGGTGGTCTACAACAGAAATCTGAGTGCGTTGTTTATCTCCTGTCTGGCAGGTTACCTGTTGATGGTCACTTGATTGAATTACCTGGGGAGCCTGGCCAGTCGTTTGTAATGATAAATACTTAGTTCCTGAGCCAGTTCACAGCTCACCCTGTTCATACACAGACATATCCTTCTGACAGGATTTGTGAAGGAGAAGACAATGGGGAGGCTTTTCCAATTTCCTTCGACCTTGCAGAGAAATGTTTGAGGTCAATTTGGGAGGGACAAAATGGTTTCAGGACTTTTTCTGTGGGATTTCAGACATGTGGTTTATATATATCTATGTACGTGCTTGGTTGAGGGGAGGAGGGTCCTAATCCTGAATGCAATGCAAAGAACTCCCAATTATTTGAGAGGGGATCTAGTCTGGGCACTTGTTGGATCAGGATATTCATCTCCAACTCTCATCTGACTCTGACTCTCTTCTCTTTCCCTCATCATCTCCTCAACAGCAAATGTCACTCTGGATCCAGACACAGCTGATACCAGGCACATCCTGTCTGAGGATCGGAAAAGTGTGAGACTGGGAGAAAAACCTCGTGAAAGATACAGCGACTACTGTCCTCCTATGTTAGGACGTGAGGGATTCACAGCAGGCAAACATTTCTGGGAAGTCAATGTGGAAAATGGAGGAGGATGGGTTGTAGGGGTTGCTGTGAAGTCTGTGAGCAAGAATGGATTTCCCCTAAGTCCCGAGGGAGGGATCTGGGCTGTACAATTTACAGCCAATCAATTGTACAAGATCTGTATTTTCCCTAATCCCCTTCACCTCTCCCTGAATGGGAAGCTCAAGAGGATCCGGGTGACTCTGGACTATGAAGGCGGATGTGTGTCTTTTTATAATGCTGACTTGGGAACCAAACTCTACACTTTCTCAGGAGCCTGGTTCTATGGAGAGACCCTTCTCCCTTTCTTTCGGGTGGATACAGTTTCTACCCACCTTGAGATCTGCTGAGGAGACTAAATCTGCCTCACCAGAATGACACATAACACACACGTGTAATTGAATTTATATATCGCCCTATACTTGGGGGTCTCAGGGTGGTTCACACACACACACATCCCTCTCAAGAGCCCTTTGGGCAGCTTTTGAGGGGTCCTTTGGGAGGATTCATTCCAGTCACAATCAGCATAAATAATAAAACAAAAATAAGACTTTGTATTGTTTTTCTTCCCTTTCCCAGAATTCCTCCTGCAGCTTAGTTTTTAAAGAGACAGTAACACTTTATCTTTCCCAATAAATAACATATTCCTCAAAAGGGTTCAGCTTCCATCACCTTCAATCCTACTTTCATTCTTCCACCTTCCCAGCAGCTGAGGATTTGGCCTGCCAAAGGAAAGCCTCAAAACAGATGCGCCTCACCATCCCTGGGGGGGTTGGTTCTCTCAGTGGGGAGAAGAGGTGCTGAAGTCCTGTTATGCTAGTGAGACTCATGGCACTGCCTCTCTTCCAGTACCTAGGGTTGCCATATGTCTGGGTTTTCCAGGACATGTCCTCTGTTGGGGGGAGGGGGAGCAGCATGCCCCTCTGGGCAGATTTTTGCAGTTTACATGAAGTGTCCGGGTTTGGGTTTAATTTACTTTTATTATTATTATTGGCCGCACTAGGTCTGGTGGCAATTCCACTGGCCACCAGGCCTTGCACGGGCTTCTGGCCTCCCGTTGTCCAGAAACGCAGCATCTCGGACAGCAAAGGTAAGGGAGGGGAGGGAAGGAGGGGGCGAACAGGAAGGGGGTGAACCATGGAGATGTGGGATGGGGGAGGTGCCCCAAATGTGTCCCGGATTTTGCGCTTTGGAATATGGCAACCCTACCAGTATCCTACTTAGTGGAATCCAGCCCCAATAAAACATATCCAGTAAAGCAAAACACACACAGGGGAAAGGGAATTGTCCATATGATTCATTTGATTTTACAAGCTTTATGTACTGCTTGATTGATTATAACAAAACTTATCCGTTTACATGCACCCACACCCCAAATATAAACATTAAAATACTAAAGAAAATATTTATGAAAACAGGAATTCAAAAACATTCAAATGATAATTAAATCCAGCGGTAGCCTAATTTCAATTTCTACGTGTCTGGTTAGAATTGCCTAAAAAAACAAAAAAAAAGAGGGCACTACCTGATATCAACAGGAAGGGAGTTCCAAAGTTTAGATGTTCATTTCTTCCAAGTGCAGAAGTTCTATTATTTGGCACTCGTAAAAGTGACAGTTTCACGGATCAAAGCATTTTATAAAGCACTTTATTTCCCCAAACAATTATGATCTTTACACTTAAAAGTCCCAATGAGTGAAAAACACATGGAAGAGAATTAACTCGGTGGCAAACTAGAAATCATTCAAGACAAAATTAATTCACCCTCAGTTATGGGGACTACTTTCAGGTGCAGTTCAGAGAGCATGGCCTTACCCCCACTGCCTGTTATCCTGCTGGTTTCTCCTGGGGAAAACTGCTCTTTAGCTCTCAATCGGAGCAAATGGCAATGTGGGTTTCCTCCAGATTGACATTTGCTCCTATTTAAAAATAAGGAGCAGGTTTTCCGGAAACTATTTGGATGTGTGGATAGAAACTGCAGGTCAAGCAGAAAACCAATTAGACAAGCGGAAGTGTGGACGAGCCCAGGATTTGAACAAATTCATTAAAATTTATTCAAATTAGTTGATGCCAAGCGCTGGATAAAATGCAGCCCTCACCTGAAGGCCCAGCACCACCAGACCATTCCCTGGAATTGAGCAGCTGGCAAAGATGACCAAGCAGGGAGCCCAGGGCAGCTCCAACTGCTACAAAGCTCTACCCTTGGATTTTTTTTGAAGCAAAGACTGCACCGCCACAATGCCAAGGATTTAGCTGAGTTCAGGAAGCCTTCTCAGTGCAATGTACAGTGGTACCTCCGGTTAAGGACTTAATTCACACTGGCAGATGTGATTTCAGAACCACTGGCAGTCATCTTTGAGAATTCCTGGAGAACAGGCGAAGTCCCGGCAGACTGGAGGAGGGCAAATGTTGTCCCTATTTTCAAAAAGGGGAAAAGAGGGGACCCAAATAATTACCGCCCAGTCAGTCTGACATCAATACCAGGGAAGATTCTGGAGCAGATCATTAAGCAAACAGTCTGTGAGCACCTAGAAAGGAATGCTGTGATCACCAATAGTCAGCATGGATTTCTGAAAAATAAGTCATGTCAGACTAACCTGATCTCGTTTTTTGACAGAATTACAAGCCTGGTAGATGAAGGGAACGCAGTGGATGTAGTCTACCTTGATTTCAGCAAGGCATTTGACAAGGTGCCCCATGATATTCTTGTAAAGAAGCTGGTAAAATGCGGTCTTGACTATGCTACCACTCAGTGGATTTGTAACTGGCTGACTGACCGAACCCAAAGGGTGCTCATCAATGGTTCCTCTTCATCCTGGAGAAGAGTGACTAGTGGGGTGCCACAGGGTTCTGTCTTGGGCCTGGTCTTATTCAACATCTTTATCAACGACTTGGATGATGGACTCAAGGGCATCCTGATCAAATTTGCAGATGACACCAAACTGGGAGGGGTGGCTAACACCCCAGAGGACAGGATCACACTTCAAAACGACCTTGACAGATTAGAGAACTGGGCCAAAACAAACAAGATGAATTTTAACAGGGAGAAATGTAAAGTATTGCACTTGGGCAAAAAAAATGAGAGGCACAAATACAAGATGGGTGACACCTGGCTTGAGAGCAGTACATGTGAAAAGGATCTAGGAGTCTTGGTTGACCACAAACTTGACATGAGCCAACAGTGTGACGCGGCAGCTAAAAAAGCCAATGCAATTCTGGGCCTCATCAATAGGAGTATAGCATCTAGATCAAGGGAAGTAATAGTGCCACTGTATTCTGCTCTGGTCAGACCTCACCTGGAGTACTGTGTCCAGTTCTGGGCACCACAGTTCAAGAAGGACACTGACAAACTGGAACGTGTCCAGAGGAGGGCAACCAAAATGGTCAAAGGCCTGGAAATGATGCCTTATGAGGAACGGCTAAGGGAGCTGGGCATGTTTAGCCTGGAGAAGAGGAGGTTAAGGGGTGATATGATAGCCATGTTCAAATATATAAAAGGATGTCACATAGAGGAGGGAGAAAGGCTGTTTTCTGCTGCTCCAGAGAAGCGGACACGGAGCAATGGATCCAAACTACAAGAAAGAAGATTCCACCTAAACATTAGGAAGAACTTCCTGACAGTAAGAGCTGTTCGACAGTGGAATTTGCTGCCAAGGAGTGTGGTGGAGTCTCCTTCTTTGGAGGTCTTTAAGCAGAGGCTTGACAACCATATGTCAGGAGTGCTCTGATGGTGTTTCCTGCTTGGCAGGGGGTTGGACTCGATGGCCCTTGTGGTCTCTTCCAACTCTATGATTCTATGATTCTATGGAGGTCCGTACTTAACCTGAAACTGTTCTTAACCTGAAGCACCACTTTGGCTAATGGGGCCTCCCGTTGCTGCCACACTGCTGGAGAACGATTTCTGTTCTCATCCTGAAGCAAAGTTCTTAACCTGAAGCACTATTTCTGGGTTAGCGGAGTCTGTAACCTGAAGCGTATGTAACCCGAGGTACCACTGCACAACAACAAACACACAATTAAAAAGCAATCCAAAGCAATGAAAGGACAACCAAGGCTTCTCAACAAAATGTTAAGCAATTGCAGAGGCCTGTCTGTCTTTTTAAAAAGAAGGCCCCATCAGCCTTGAGTTCATGAATCATTTACAGCAAGGGGAACAGCCAGTGACTGAAAACTGAGAAAGTAAAACTTAACTGGGACTTTGGCAGGTATGGCTGTTTCTGGTGGTCCCGTCCAGAGTCTGTGCGATGAAGCTACTTGCTCCATCTGCCTGGAATATTTCAAGGATCCAGTGACCATCCCAGAGTGTGGGCACAACTTCTGCCGATCTTGCTTGGTCCAGTGCTGGGGGAAACTGGAGGCAGAGGCTTCCTGCCCACAGTGCAGAATAACTGTCCAGCCAAGGAGCCTCATCTCCAACCGGCAACTGGCCAACGCGGTAGAAATAGCCAAGAAGCTCAGCCTTCCCCTTCAGGAAGGGAAGGTCTGTGAGAAGCACCAGGAGACCCTGAAACTCTTCTGCAAAGTCGATGCGACCCTCATCTGTGTGGTTTGTGACAGATCCAAGGAACATGAAAACCACAAGGTGATTCCTCTGGAGGAGGCCTCTGAAGAGTACAAGGTAGGAAATCACTGTGGATCTTGATGAGGGGAAGAGTGGTGGATTCTTCCTGGGCCGTTTTCCGTAGCACTTAAGTCCAAACTGCATTAAATCAATTGCCCAAACATCAATTGTTTATTATGTAAAAGGCAGCAAAGGAGAAGAGCAGTGTAGGGGTAGGTTCCAAAGGGAGCTTGCATACCCTCCAACATTTCTATGATGAAAATAGGGTAGTTCTATTCCATCATCATAATAATGATATTTATACCCCACCCAGGTTTCAATATATATAAAAACATAATAAAATATTTAACATAACCCCACCCCCCCAATACAGGGCTGCTTTCAGATGCCTTCTAAAGTGGACTCCTCTCTCTCCCTCTCCCTCTCTCCCTCCCTTCCATCCTCCCTCTCTTTTTCTTGGTCTTCATCAAACCTGGGATTTTGTTTCCTCTTTAGAGACTGATCTGCAGTCGCCTGGAGACGCTGAGGAGAGAGAGAGAAAAAATGCTGGCCTATCAAGCAGACCTGGAAAAGCAAAGCCAAGACCTTGTAGGTGTCCCTATTGTTACTAGGATGGAAACAAGCATTTGAATACAGTAGTACCTCGGGTTAAGTACTTAATTCATTCTGGAGGTCCGTTCTTAACCTGAAACTGTTCTTAACCTGAAGACCACTTTAGCTAATGGGACCTCCCACTGCTGCTGTCCCGCTAGAGCACGATTTCTGTTCTCATCCTGAAGCAAAATTCTTAACCCGAGGTGCTATTTCTGGGTTAGTAGAGTCTGTAACCTGAAGCATCTGTAACCTGAAGCATATGTAACCCGAGGTACCACTGTAATCAAGTCAGGACTGAAGAAGCACGGGCAAATCTGTCCCATACCAGCTTCTCCCCGTTTTTCCACATCAGCATGCAATTTTGAATTTTAAAAAGTCCTTTCTGTGTTATTTGCATTCATAAACAATTTTAATGCCTACTTTACCCTCAAATGTGCATTTTTGTGCACATTATCTGACCAGAGTAACATTCAGAGGAGTGTTAATTTGAAATAAATGCTGTTTTTCCATCTGCGTATTTTTTTGGAGAGTGACTATCACCTAAGTCCACCTTTGAATGCAAACTGGATTGAATTTCTTCCCCCTGAGGCAGCCCAGCTCTATTGAATATAAAGTACTTGGGATATCCTGAAGGACCATACAAGTGGTTAATGAAAGGTCTTTTGAAATGTGCACTCTGTTGTAATCTTTAGCAAAGTCAGGCCATCCCGAAGCCTTAAAGTAAACAGGGGTGCTCTGGGGATGAACAGGCTAGCTATGCCCTCTTCCTCTGTTTCTGTTGCCTTCCTATTTATGGAAGTGTTCAGTCTAAAGTGAGCAGCATTTAATGTCCATGGAGGCTCCCTGAATATTTTAGAACTGTGATTATGCCAGGTCCAAATATGTGCAAGGAACCTCCATGGCTAGAAATAAAAAGCTCATTGCTTTAGGCAAACTGGAAGGCAGCAAGCAGGAATAGCAGTGGAGAGGGCAGAGCAAGTGTGTTCCTGAGTCAGGGCTCCATGTTTCTTACTTCTTCAGTGGGGTCGTTCCATGACAGATCACCACAATTATTATTATTATTATTATTATTATTATTATTATTATCTGCTACATCTCAGATTTTGCTTAAAATTGCTGTACTGGATTATCTCAGGTCAGTGTCACTCGTGTGAATAAATATTTCCTATGTCTTATACTTTTCAAGTTTGGGGGGGGATGAAAATTAGAGAAACGTTATATACATGCATGAATCAAGTCACTTCTGGGGACTTTATGGGATTTGGGGCCCTGAAGCTTAAGCTTCCTTAGTTTATAGCAGATCCACTTCTGGGCAGAATAGGTTGATGGGTCTCTGCACTGACACTCTCCCCAACTCTAAGCAGAATGAGGGCATCTAAGAGTGAATGCCTGTTCTCTGCTTATCTGAACTAGGGTGGGGGGCTCATCACCCACCCACTGAGAGCCCCAAATGGCCATATCATACAGAGATGCCTAAGGAGGGCAAGTCCCCTTCTCTCCTACTCCCCCCTCCCATTCACAAACACAGAAGAGCTGAGTAAAGGTTCACTAGGTGGTTTTGTTTCATTGTAAATACCATATTTTTCACTCTATAGGACGCTCCCGACCATAGGACGCATCTTGTTTTAGAGGGGGAGAACAAGGGGGGGGGGAATCTCCCCCTCTCTGCTCAGCACGCCTTCAGCGAAGCGGCAGGAGAAACGGAGCCCTTTCCATTTCTCCTCCCGCTTCGCTGAAGGGGCGCTGTGCAGCTCTCCCTCTCTGCTGAAGCCAGGAGAGTCTTGCTCTCCCAGCTTCAGCAAAAGGAACCTGAAGCCTTTGGAGTGCAGCGCGAGTTCCCGCTGTGCTCCAAAGGCTTCAGGCGGCTATCCCTGAAGCCTGGAGAGCAAGAGGGGTCGGTGCGCTCTGACCCCTCTCACTTTCTAGGCTTCAGCGAAAGCAACGCGAAGTCTCCGGAGCGCGGACGGAGTGCTCCCTCTGCGCTTCGGAGGCTTCGCGTTGCTATCGTTGAAGCCAAGGAGCCTGCATTCGCTTCATAGGATGCACACACATTTCCCCTTAATTTTTGGAGGGGAAACAGTGCGTCCTATAGAACGAAAAATACGGTACATTGAATACAGAAAGAAGAAAACAACTGATTTAAAACCAACAAGGGCTGCAATCTGAAAATGGTAACAGCCTTTGAGTAATTTCTGTAGATAACCAATATTAAAAGGAAGATAGATAGAAATAATCGTACTTCAAAGAAAAAGAAAATCGATAAATACAGGCAACAAGTTTATTATAATAAAATGGAAGGGATGGGAAGTCATTTATTTATGAAGAATACAGTGGTACCTCGCAAGACGAACGCCTCGCAAGACGGAAAACCCGCTAGACGAAAGGGTTTTCCGTTTTGGAGGCGCTTCGCAAAACGAATTTCCCTATGGGCTTGCTTCGCAAGACGACAGCCCATAGGGAAATCTCGGACCTCCTCCGAAGCCTGGCGGCAAGGCGGGGACACCTCCTCCCGCTGCCGCCGGGCTTCGGAACGATGCCCCGATGCCGGGCGGCGGGGCGGGAACCTCTCCCGCCGCCGCCGGGCTTCGGAACGATGCCCCGATGCCGGGCGGCGGGGCCGCGAAGCCTGGGCGCGCTGATCTCAGCGCGCGCAGGCTTCGGCATGCCGGCAACTCTCTGAAGGCTGGCGGGGGGCAAAAGTCTTTGTCCCCCCTGCCTGCCTTCCCAGGGGCTTTTAAATCGCCCCGGACAGCGGAGAAGTCCTCCGCTGTCCCGGGGCGATTTTAAAATGCCGCCCGCCAGCATTTTAAGATCGTCCCGGACAGCGGAGAAGCCCTCCGCTGTCCCGGGGTTTTTTAAAATGCTGGGGGTGGGGAAAAAGCCCTTGTCTCCCCCCCCCCAGCCTTCAGAAGAGGTCGGGGGACAGACTGTCCCCGGACCTGGTCTGAAGTCGGTTTCCCTAGGAACGCATTAATTGATTTTCAATGCATTCCTATGGGAAACCGTGCATCGCAAGACGAAAAACTCGCAAGAAGAAAAAACTTGCGGAACGAATTAATTTCGTCTTGCGAGGCACCACTGTATTATGATTTGAACTACATCTCTTTTCTTTTTTGTGTTCATGTAATGTTTGATGATCTAAAATGGACAACAACAATAATCAAAAACATTTTTGAATATATATTTTTATGATGTAAGGTTATGATGTAAAGATATCATTATGAGCAATAAAAAAAAAGATTTAAAACCAACAAGGAAAGTATTTATTGTGGGGAAAGTATAGGAAGAAAGAGAGAAGTATCCCAGTTCTGTATGCAATACAAAGAAATCCCATTTCTTTGAGAGGGAATCTGGTTCCTGGGGTGTTTCTTGGATCAGGATGTCCATCTCTGACTCTCAGCTGATTCTGCCTCTCTTCTTTTTCCAACAGCAAATGTCACTCTGAACCCAGACACAGCCCATCCCAAACTCATCCTGTCCGAGGATCGGAAAAGCGTGAGATGGGGAGACAAAAAGCAAGCCCTGCCTGACAATCCTGAGAGATTCAATGACTGGCCTTCTGTGTTGGGACGTGAGGGATTCACAGCAGGCAGACATTTCTGGGAAGTCACTGTGGGAAGTGAGGGAGAATGGGCTGTAGGGGTTGCCAGGAAGTCTCTGAGGAGAAAGGATGACTTTCTCATGAGAATAATTAATACCTTCTGTGAGTTAAGTTATGAGGAAGGGATCTGGGCTGTGGGGAAATTGAGAGGTACAGGGCCTGCACCTCCCCTGATTCCTCTCCTTTGTCCCTCAGTGAGGAGCCCAGGAGGATCCGGGTGACTCTGGACTGTGAAGCAGGGGAGATGTCTCTTTCTGACGCTGACTCAGGAGCTGAACTCTACACGTTCTCAGGAGCCTCGTTCTCTGGAGAGACCTTCCTCCCTTTCTTTTATCTGAGGGGAGATAAAATCCACCTCAGGATCTCCTAAGGAGGCTAGATCTGCCTCACAGGAACATTTGGAGTTTCTCTCCAAATGAAAATGACAGATATAAAACCAAACACCTCAAGAGCTCTTTTGACAGCTTTGCACAGGCCTTTTGAGATGACTCACTCTAGTCACAATCAGCAGAAGCAAGAAAACAGATAAAAAATGGGGCTAGTTTTTTTAAATTTTGTTTTATTTTGTTTTATTTGCTTTTTCCTTCCCTTTCCCGGAATTCCCTCTGCAGGTTACCGTATTTTCCCCTCTATAACACGCATATTTTCTCCTAAAAAGGAAGGGGAAATGTCTGTGCGTGTTATTGAGCGAATGTGTGGTCCCTGGAGCCGAATGGCGCGAGTGGAGGCAAAAAAAATCATGCAAAAATCAAATCGCGCGTCTTGGAGAAGGGAAACCTGAAAAGAGGAAGCGGCTGCTTTCCTGCATTCTGCCTCAGGGTCTTACTGCCCACCCTCCTCTGTTTCCTTCCTGTTTTTGCTCAAACGGAACAAAGAGCAGGGAAAGCCCCTCCCCTCCAGGCAAGCAGAGGGGAAAGCAGAGTGTCGTTCCTTCCTCTCTGTGCTCCGGTGCTGCTGAAAACATGCAGGAGAGAGAGAGAGAGCGCGAGCTGGCTGGCTTGGATGGGTAAGTGAGGGAAAACTTTTGCCTTCCTTTCCTCCCTCCCGTTATACCCCTCTCCTGCATTCTTAGCCAGCTGCTTCTCTGCACACCCCTCTCGTGCTCCTTGTCCCTTCTGTGTTTTTCCTTCCCTCCCCACTTAAAATGTGGTTACAAAGCATGGATCCACATGGATCCTCAGGATCTTTGCATTGGGTCAGCCCAAATTCACCATCAGAGCACATAGCATGTCCATGGCTACAGCCTGCCCCCCCAAAAATCACGCACCCACTGTTGCCTGGGGCTGCAATGGTGCAAAAATGTGGTTAAAAAGCATGGATCCACATGGATCCTCAGGATCTTTGCATTGGGTCACCCCAAATTCACCATCAGATCACATGTCTGTGGCCACAGCATGAAGCACAAAAATGATACATCCACTGTTTCATTCAGAATGTTTTTTCCCTTGTTTTCCTCCTCTAAAAACGATGTGCGTGTTATGGTCAGGTGCATGTTATAGAGCGAAAAATACGGTATTTCTTAGAGACAATATCACTTTAACAGTCCCAGTAAATATTATGTTCCTGAATAGGAATGCACTGACTTCAGTAGGGCTTTTGGCTGTTTAGATGTGTTTAGGATTACAGCCAATGTGGTGTCCTTTGGATGAGGCTGGACTCCAATTCCCATCTGCCTTGTCCAGCATCTGGTCAGAGATGATGGGATTGTAGTCCAGCAACTTCCAGAGGGCATCGCATTTGCTGGCTGCTTCAGACCTTTTGTGTGTGAGGTGATCGCAGTAACCACCAGAGTAGAGAAACTGTGCCCTGGCCTCTGGACTTGTTTCCATCCCTCAGATGAAAATGCGCCTTTCCACCTGTGTGCTAGGAGAAGAGCATACACCTGAAAGACCTTCAGCTCCTGGAAGGGGGAGAGGGAGCAAAAAAGAAAGAAAACCCAGCTAGGAATCTGACCTTAGCACCAATTGTGGCACAGAATCCTGACCACTAAACCATGGTTGAGAAAAGCCTGGTTGAACTCTCTAGTCCAGCGAAAGGATTCCCTGACAGGAAATAGATTGAGAAGACTGGTAAAAAAATGTGGGAATGTTCAGGGATGCAGGAGAGGATATATTGTTTGATGATATCCTTCCTAACTTGCATTAGCAAGTTCTATATCTTATCAGAGTACCATTCCCCTTTAAACGCACAGTGGTTTGCTTGTTGCAGGCTCATCTGAGCCTCTCAATATAAGATTCCTGGTAAGATCCCTTGTCCTGCTTAAAAAGAATAGACACAAGTCTTATTAAAATCAATATAAAAGTAGTTTACTCACAATCATTCAGTTCACAGTGTGAAAGAAAGAGCATTTTTGGCAAAACATTCATTTTTACCGCTGCTGTTTTTCCTAGTAGGGAGAGGTTCATTCTGCTCCATATTTCTAAATTTCTTTTATCTCAAGCCACACTTTTTCATAATTATCTTTATATATATTTATATTTTTTGCAGTTAGTCATATCCATAAGTATTTTACTTTTTTACGGACTTCTATCTCAATACTTTGCTCCAGCTCTTTTTTTTCTTTGTTCAAATTTTTTACTCATAACTTAGTTTTGTTTCTATTTAATTTAGATCCTGCCACTTCCCCAAATTTTTGAATTTTTTCTATAACTCTAGGGAGAGAATTTTTTGGATCTTCCACTGTAATTACTAAATTATCAGCATACGCTTTCAATTTAAACTCACTTTTCCCAGTTTTTATCCCAGTGATCTCTTTGTCTGCTCTTATGTTTCTAGCAAATACTTCCAGGACCAGAATGAACAACAGCGGCAATAATGGGCATCCTTGTCTAGTTCCTTTTTGTATCTTACAGTTGTCCGTTATCACCTGATTTACAATTAATTTAGCTTTTTGTTCTGAATATATTGCTTGTATTCCCTTTAAAAATTTGAATCCACAATAATTTATTCAAGTACTTTTGTCATGAAATTCCAAGAAACATTGTCAAAGGCTTTTTCAGCGTCTATAAACATCATTGCTGCTTTCTTTTCATTTTTGACCTCCAGATATTCTATCACATTTAATATATTTCTTATATTCTCTTTCATTTGTCTACCTGGAAGAAATCCTGCCTGATCTTGATGTATATACTCATTTAATATTTTTTTCATTCTATTAGCTAAGATGTTTGCAAATAATTTATAATCATTGTTTAACAATGAGATAGGCCTTTAATTTTTAATTTGCAGCAAATCTGAATCTTGTTTTGGAATTACTGTAATGTAAGCCTCTTTCCATGTTTCTGGGATTTCACCTGTATTTAATATCTCATTCATGACATCTTTCAATGGGTTTACCAATTGTTCACTTAATTTTTTATAATACTTTGCCATTCATCCATCTGGACCCGGGGACTTGCCATTTTTTTGTCCACTTTATTGCCTCTAACACTTCTTGAGCAGTTATTTGTGTGTTTAAGATCACCATTTGTTCCTCTTTTATTTTTGGCAGATTACTACCTTTAATATATTCCTCTATTTTAAAAGCTTTTTCCTTCCCTTTCCTATACAAGTCTGAGAAATATTTTACAAATGCTGCTCTTATTTCCTTCATCTTATCTGTGATCTTTCCATTTATATTAATTTTGTTTATGGAGTTTCTTTGTTCACTTTTCTTCAACTGCCACGCTAGCAGTTTTCCTGATTTGTTAACAAATCTGGCTCTGCCTCTTGTGAACAGAACTTCCATGAGCTGCCATACTCACATCCTCAATAGGGAGGAAATGCTACTCTGCCCCCTTCTTAGCATATGAAGCAGCTGGTCAGTCTCATAAACTGAAGGTCCTGAGTTGGAGCCTCTGAGAAGGCAACTTCCTCCTCTCGCTTCCTTTTTGCCAAGGTGTGTGTTCAGCTGCGCTCTCTAAGAAGGGAAAAGGGAAGACTGTGGGTGTCCTGGGTGGTGAGTTGGGAGTCTTGATTGCTGTTATCTATCTATATTAAACATTTGCAAGTAATAAGTAAATAAAGAGAAAAACATATTCCTTGACCAGGAATTGAATGCAGACTGCATCAATGAGAGAAACAAATTTTTAGAACAACAAGTAGATTTTAATTGGTGATATTTTTCTATGTTAAACTAAGAAGAATGTTTAAATTAAAAAAGAATGAATCCTCTGTTCAGAAATGATGTGGGCTTCAGGGTGAAAATGTGGTGACCAGGTTTGCTCAGACATTAAATTGTTCGGCCTCTTGAACCATCAGTCTGTTTGTCATCTATTCAGCTCCAGCAACAAAACCGCAGCCCAAAGGAGGCTGAGGGGGGAAACCATTCAGCTCTCTGTGGCTCCGTTGGTTAGTGTGTCTGGTTGTTAACCAGAAGAATGGTGGTTCGAGTCCATCCAGGTACAGGTTTGGGTCCCCTACCCTCATGATCACAAGGTGAAGGTGATGACTGGCTCATCCATTGCTTCTCATGCATGTGGGCTTGAATCTCACCTTCATCAACACTTTAGCCCAAACTGAATTATGGAAGCTGGGCATAAGAACTCAAGGAGAGCCTGCTGGATTAGGCCAATGGCCCATGCAGTTCTCACTGTGGCCAACCAGAAGCCTGTGGGAAGACGCCCACAAGCAGTAGCATTAATTTGGCCCTAACATTCTTTCCCCTGACTTGCTAGATTTCTATATGCAGGGACTGCTTTTGTACAGTGGAGGTTTTATTCAAGTGAGTCTCCTCCTTTCTTGCTCTGTCTTTCCCTTTCTTTTATTTTATGGGTTGTTGTGAATTGTAAACTGAGCCATGGAGAGTTGGCAGTGAAATGTTCAGTGTTGTGCACTTACATATAAAAACGGGTGGGAAGGAGAAAAAGGAATCACTTTTATTTAAAAACAAAAACAAAAAAAGTAGGCAATCACATGGCTACTGGGTTCTTCAAGTGCTGGTCAAAAGGTAGCCAAAATGACAACATCCATGCACAAAGTATCAGCAGGCATAGAGGAACCCCAGCAACTTTAGAAAACCTTCCGAAAACAGGCCAAAGAGGAACACACATTTCTAGTGGCCTTGAAAAGCTGATTCTCTGATGAGACAGGAAAAGTGTGTGTGTGTGTGTGTGAGAGAGAGAGAGAGAGAGAGAGAGAGAGAGAGAGAGAAGTATCCTAGAAGACAGCAAGATAGCCATGAGCACCCTACAGACTGCTGCGTTTCATTACAAATCTAATTTGTAGTAGAGTTATCTTTTTAGTGTTCAGTGTTTCGCGTTAATTTCCCCAACAATCCTTGACAACTCCGCTGCAGGCAGGCGAAAGTGATCAATTCCCAAGTGCAAATACGGGATAACTATGAAGAAGGAGCAGCTGACCCACTCTGTTATGAAACTGAGGCGATAGGACTCTGTTAAATGAAATACCAGGAAGAGACGGTTATGAACCTGCCCTTCTCTTAAACCATTTCCTACCTTTTGAGCCCCTCTGCAGAGCAAATTCCAACACCAGGGCTAAAATATACACATACAACATATCATTTTAAGAACCCCCAAGAGCTGCAAACACAGAGTATTTTAAGTAATCCCCCCCCAAATGCCTTTTCTTTTTAAAACTCGTGAGAGATGCATTAAAGCTTGAGTGCTGCTGAGTAATGTTACTACTTCTAACTGTTCCTAGCTGGTTTCACAGTCCTGTATTTCTCCAGCCACAATAACTAGGGTTTCATCTTTTTAGGGGCAGGGTTTGTGGTGCACAAGAACACAAGACAAGCCTGGTAGATCGAGAGCTATGTGTTGAGGATGATCAATATTAGTGGGCAATCCATCTTTCAGGGAAGCATGTTTGCCCCTATTGATCTTTGCACTGAGAGATCCCTTAGTAAGGTTTTGAGGAACTACCAGGGCTCTCCCAAGCCAAAAAACTAAATCAGGTATACTTCCACCTGAGGCTGGAAAATATCAAGTCTTCACTTCCTGCATGCAAGATGTCCTTTTCTCTCTTGAATGGGTTTTCTCATGTGATGTGAGGCTGCCCTTCTGACTGAATCTCCTCCCGCAATCCAGACACTGGTACGGCTTCTCTCCTGTGTGGATCCGCACGTGCGTCATGAGGTTGCCCTTCTGACGGAAGCGTTTCCCACAGTGCAGACATGGATATGGATTCTCATCTGTATGGATCCTCTCATGTATGACAAGGTTGGACTTCTGAGAGAAGCTTTTCCCGCAGTGCGGACACTTGTATGGGTCCTCTTCCGTGTGGATTCTCTCGTGTGCAATGAGGTCACATTTTCGACTGAAGTTTCTCCCGCAATCGGAGCACTTAAAGGGTCTCTCTCCTGTGTGGGTCTTCCCGTGGATGATTAGATTGCACCTCTGAGAGAAACTTTTCCCACAGTCTGAGCACTTGAATGGTTTCTCACCTGTATGGATTCTCATGTGTTTCCTAAAAACTGAGCCACGAGTGAAGACCTTCTCACAGTGTGGGCACCTGTGTACATTCTCCCCTGTGTGGATTCTCTCATGCGCTGTAAGGCTCGAGCTGTGATAGAAGGTCTGGCCACAGTCTGTGCATGCATACGGCTTTTCTCTTGTGTGTATTTTTTCATGTGCCCTAAGATTTGAACTGTGGGTGAAGCTTCTCCCACAGTTGGAGCACTCGTATGGTTTCTCTCCAGTGTGGGTTCTTTCATGTACAAGAAGGTTGGTGCTCCGGCTGAAGGTTTTCCCACATTCTGAACACTTATATTTATCCTCTCCTGTATGCATTATTTGGTGTTTATGATTTCAGCTCTGTTGGAAGCTGCCTTTGACATCAGCACATGGCTTTAGGGCACCATAATCACGATCTTTCACTTTCTTCACATCCAAACAATCCTCTGGGAGCAGCTTCACTCAAATCTTTCCCAGATCCACTTGTTCCTGAAGCTTCTTCCGTCATATTCTCACGCACCCGTCCATAACCTGCCTAGGACGAAAGGGAGAATCATAATATGAGTCACATCCTGCTCTGGATGCTTATTTCTTATGAATAAATATTACCCCACACGTCAGGCTTTTAAAATGGCTCACCACACTATGAGAACAGCAAAAAGGCAGTAGTGACACAGAAGATGAAAGGCTAGGATCTAAAAAGCCTGATTGGGCAAAGAGAAGGACTTGTCTGACTGCAGAAAGACAAGCAGCTCAGCACCAGGTGAGCAATAAGACAATGCCCTAAGGCTGGGGTAAGGAACCTCAGGCTCAGGAACAAAAGTGACCCTTCAAATCTCTCTGTTTGGCCCTCAGGGCCACTAAGTCACAACCCCTCGCAGAGGCCTTTCCTTCCTTGAGTGCTTTTGCCTGACTTGAATTGTTATAAAGCCTTTCATTGCATGAAAGGAAAAGAGAGAGAGAGGTGTTTCTGTATGGCTGGATAGATGCATTTTTTGTCCTTTCCTCTTTTGCAGCATTTGAAAACAGCACTTTTGCCTAGAGGCACAAAGAGCACAACTATTCTGAGATTTGAAACCTCTCTTTAGGGCTATTTGCATGATATTCATATCATGTGGGCCAGAGGGAAGACTGCTTCATTTTGTTCTAAGACAGTAATGTGAACACAGCACAAGTCAGAGTTGGGTGAAGATATATAGCATCCCAGCTTTTTTAAAAATAAAGTTTCAAAGTCTTTAAGGGATTGCAGGACTTGGAACTCTAAGGGTTTTGAGTTCTGCTGGGGCTGCTTGAGAATTCTTTAGTTTTCAACGTGTTTTTTCCACATTGCTTAATGCTATGCTGCATTTCTATGCTTAAGGATACATTTGTATGCTTGGAGAGCCAGTGTGGTGTAGTGGTTAAGAGCTGTAGTCTTGTAATCTGGGGAACCAGGTTCGCGTCTCCGCTCCTCCACATGCAGCTGCTGGGTGACCTTGGGCTAGTCACACTTCTCTGAAGTCTCTCAGCCCCACTCACCTCACAGAGTGTTTGTTGTGGGGGAGGAAGGGAAAGGAGAATGTGAGCCGCTTTGAGACTCCTGAAGGGGAGTGAAAGGTGGGATATCAAATCCAAGGTTAGGACTGCCTTTGAACCTCTTTATCGTAGGCTGCCAGAGAACTCCCTGGGAACGGCATATAAATGGTGCCATAAATAAATATTAAAATTGTCACCTGGGATTCTGCTCTAGGACACCTGCCCTAGGGAAATGAGGCGGATGGTGACTGGGCAGAGGGGTGTCTCAGTGGCGGCACCCCTTTGCAGCAGAGATGGGGCACTTTTTTCAGCCTGAGGGCCACAACAACAAACCAAAAAAAGCCCTGCTATTTCAGGCCAGTGTCCCCTCTAGTTCAGCATTCTGTTCTCTGTGTGGCCAACCAGGAAGCAGCTGGTACCACAAGCTGTTAGGAAGCTGGGATAGTAAATAAAGATATGAGTAATAACTGTATTTCATACTGCTGGATTGCACCCAAAACCTCTAAAGAGTTTGCAAATAATGATGATGATAACTGTCAACAACAACAAAAACAGATTTTAAAAAATCAAGCTGTTTATTAAAATATGTGTAAAGGCCGACTAAAGCATTCTAGGCATCTTGGATAGGCTTGCATGAGCAGAAACGCTTTGACCAGAAATGTACCGGTATTACTATTTTACAATCATAATGATAAAGGCACTCCTTCCCAAAACACACACACACACACACACGTGGATTTACCAGGGTGAAATGCCAGATAATCGACGAAACCAGAGTATCTGAACACACAACGGATCTTTTTTCTTCCTCTTCTTCAGTCTCTCTCCCTTCTTGCGCAACCAGCTCCTGGGCTGCTGCTGTCCATTCTCTGGAACTTACTAGGCTCCCCTTTAAACCCCCTTCCTTTCCCTCCACGCTCACCTCTCCTTGCAGCCTTTTGCAATGCAAACCCTGCTAACTGCAGCTGGGGGTGGAGTGGGGAGATCTGTTAAAAGGCTCCAACGCGAACCCCCTTTTCTGCAAAGGTCGTAGAACAAACCAACTCCGCCACCCACCTCCAGGGGGCGCGATGGGAAAAGGTCTGGCAAGGAAGTAGTTTTCCTATTCAATCGTCATCTTTCTTCCTCCTCTGCCTCTTCCACTCTCTCTCTGGCCCTTCTAGGAACTGGAGCTAAACTCGGTGGATTTAACCATTTGAGTAATGAATAACCTTGCAGACACTCTTCTCTGGTCGATAATCCGACTTGTTTCCTGGCGCTTTTTCTTATTGCAGTGAAGTCTGATGGCGAAGCAAGTTGGTTGTGCAAGATAAATTGTGACTGGGGAACCTGAATGTGTTGATGTGCTTATATGCACACACACACAAAAGATCCTGCATGGTAAAGTGCTTAAAGGCTGAACTAGGACTTGGAGCCCAGGGTTCAAATTCCCCACTCTGCCACCTACAGGGTGAGATTGGAATAGTCAGCCTGAGCCTAATATACCTCACAGGGTTGTTGTGAAGATAAAATGGAGAGGTGGGGGGGCATGCGTGCAAGCTTAGGGTAGCTCAAGGTGGAGTAGAAATGTAAAAATAAACTTTTCCAGCTCTGCAATATCCTTCTGTGAAGCGAGATGATCAAAGCTGTACATATACGGTATTCCAAATGCAGTCTCATCATAGTGTTATAGGAATTCTAAGGTCATATATATAGAATAAATGTTCATAAATGTACAGGGCAAATACACATGCATAAGTATAGTGTCTGAAACAGTAAAGGTAAAGGTAAAGGGACCCCTGACCATTAGGTCCAGCCGTGGCCGACTCTGGAGTTGCGGCGCTCATCTCGCTTTATTGGCCCGAGGGCAATTCTGAAGCCATTTTGACTCTCCCAAATTGACCTCAAATATTTCTCTGCAAGGAGGAAGGAAATGGGAAAAGTTTTCCAATTGTCTTTGGACTGTAGGGGCTTACACCTCCCTGTAAATACAGTCTGGCAAGTATCTGTTAAGCTGAGCACACTATCAATATGCGTAAGAGATTCAGGAACTAAGTATTTACCATCTCAAAGGAATGACCAGGCTACCCAGAAAAGGCAATCAGATATCAGGTAGAAGCAACACACTCAAATTTCTGCTGGGGACCACCTCTTTCTGTGATGTATGTGTGATGTTTTGGGGGGTGGTCTTGAGCTACAGGGTAGGCAATTTCAAATGTCTATATAACAGCTTGCACACCAATGTTCTGGGTTCCTCTCCTCTCCTGCATGTGGGAGTGAGGGACCCTGTTGCAACAGTTTAATAAAGATCAGACTTACTAGCTGCTTTGCTTCTCAATACTCTCTGTTTGGCCTCAGTTATTTTCTCCTACTGATAGAGAACCTACATAAGGACTTTATACGGGCTCTAAGTGAAAGGGAGTAGTATTTTTCTTACCACAATAGATTTGTAGAACAGCATTATATCAGCAGTTTTATTTTCAATTCCTTTCTTAACAATTCCCAGGGTGGAATTTGCCTTTTTCACAGCTGTGGCATATACTGGGTAGATAGATGTCTTCATCTAAACTATCCACCACAACCTCAAGGTCTTGTCGCTGGCTAGTTACTGGCATTGCTAACTGTTAGTGTTGGGGTTTGTTTGGCCCAAAGTGCAAAGACCTTGCTTTTAAAACATGAAAAATAAAATGATCAGTTTGTATAAAAAAAATTGGAACAGCAACTCACTAAAAATAAATACATATAAAATTTTATCTACGGCAGTAATTCAAAGAAGGCTGAGTGCTCTGCCTCTACATTCATATTTGCAGGCGGGGTTGGAGTTCTTGTGTCCGATTTCTTCAGGGGCAAATAAATAAAAAGCATCCATACAATGTGAAAAATTGTCAAAAGAGATACAATTCCAGCTATGGTCTGGTTCACCTCAAGGGAGTAAATCTGCCTCTGGCAAGTACCACTTCAGATTGCAGGGGGAGGACTCATGTTCCTGAATGCATAAAAACAACAACCCTGCATATAGAAAACTAGTGTGCCTGGGCTAAAATGATTCTCATTGGCACACTAGCTTTCTAGATGCAGGGTGTTTGCATCTTTTTAATAGTGAAGTATTTGAACATATTGAGCTCCCAACTACCGTCAGAAATGGTACAGCTCAAGACACCAGTTTACTGCTGAAATAAGAACTACGAGGTTTTATTTGGGAGAATCAGGGGGGTAAATCGGGTTCAACAAAGCTTTTTGCGTTCTCCACAACTGCCAGATCTCAGTCCTCACCCATCACCTATTGATATCTGAAAGACTCCTTTGCCTTAGCAACACAAATTTGTAGCTCCAGAGAGACACCGCATTAGCACATTTAACACTCAGCCGTGATTTGCTTTAACCATGGTTTGTCTGTCCATTTGTTCCACCGCAGTCAGAGCTTCTCCGTGGTTCTCCCTCCCAAGTGAATTCTCCGATGCACGCGAAGGCCTGAGCTGTGCCCGAAGTTCTTCCCGCAATCAGAGCAGCTGTACGACTTCTCTCCTTTGTGGCTTATCTCGTGGGCCAGAAGGCAGGACTTCTGGATGAAGCTCCTCCCACAGTCCGAACACTTATAGGGCCTCTCCCCTGTGTGGATTCTCTCGTGGGTCAGGAGGCCCGACCTGGTCGTGAACCTTTTCCCGCAGGTGGAGCACATGTACGGCTTCTCCCCGGTGTGAGTCCTCACGTGAGCCCGGAGCGTGGAACCCTTGCCGAAGCTCCTCCCACAGTCCAAACACTTGTGGGGCCTTTCTCCCGTGTGGGTCCGCTCGTGGGCTTTCAGGTTGCAGCGGTGCTTGAAGCTCCTTCCGCAATGGCAGTGGTGGAGCCTCTGGTGACCGTTGCCCTCTTCCCACCCCAAGTCGCCTCCTTCACTGGGAAGAGCTCCATTCACGTTCCTCTCTGGCCTGATCCCCTGCTGAGCCGCAGGCCTCACTCCCTCTTTGCCATGACGCGAAACCTTGCCTCTTCTCAACTCTCTTAGCTCCAGTTGTTCTGAGCTTTCCTGCTGAAGGCGATGTCCCGCGGTTTCAAGTGCTCCTGGATGTGTATATATTAAAAAAGAACCTTGATGTGAAATCCTTGCTCTGGCTAAGAGTTCCCAACAGCTGCAAATCTCTGTCTTGTTCCTCAAACTTAAACATGGAATCACAGAATTGTAGAATTGGAAGGAACCCCATGGGTCATCTAGTCCAACCCCCTGCAATGCAGGAATCTCAACTAAAGCAAAAAGGTTCTCCACCCCAAAGAAGGAAAAATCTGTATCTTCACCCGTTTTCCACATTATTTTAATGTTTGTACCTAATTCTAGTCCTATCTGGAGGTAGCCATCAAGACAAGAAGACATCGTGTTGCATCCAATACTAATAATAATAATAAATTTATAATACTAGTCCCACCGAGAGGAGACCCATTAAATTTGCATGCTGCTTTTCCACAGAAATGTGCCCAAAGGGTCTCAGAAGACAAGAAAAGCAACAACAGAGCAAGAAAAAGAATCACCGTGACCTTTGTGTGCCCCTCCTCAGGAGATCTGGAGGGTGGCAACATGAGAATGGGCCTTTTCGGTGGTGGCTCCCCACTTGTGGAATGCTCACCCCGGGGAGGCTTGCCTGGCACCATCATTACATAGCTTTAGGCACCAGGCAAAATCACGTCTTTTTTGCCAGGCCTTATGGTTCTTAATTATCTGTGGCCAACTTGAGCGGGCAGAATGTTTTAACCCTGTCTTTTAAAAACAGGATTGTCTTTAAGATTGTCTTTGTTTTCTTTTTTCTTTTATGCTCATTTCAATGTACGTGTTTGCCTTTTTATATATTGTAATTCACTTTCAGCTACCTAGGTTAACAAAGGAACCAATAAATTTAAATAATAATTAAAGAATAGTAGCCATGGTTGTATACCAAGATTGCAATCGCCTGTTCCATCTGCATGCTGAGGACAAGCATGAATGACTCTGGAATGAGAAAAACTACATTTTTGTGTTGCAAATGGGTCAGTGTGTATCCAGCCATTGATTTACACCTGCTAAGCCACTTTATACCAAGTGAGACTAATAGTCTACCTTAGCCCTGTATTAACTATTCCTGTGGCCGTGCAGTTAAGGATGGGTTTCAGGGACAGGGAAAACCCCCAGATCCTTTTAACTGGATCTGCCAGGGATGGCAATGGGGACTTCCTTCAATTCAGCCCCTGATCTGCTCAGGCACCCATGGAGTTCTCCTCCTGCCCAGCGAATGCAGCTTTCAGCCTTGACACAGACCCATTTTCTCACCTGTGTGGATTCTCTCGTGTGCTGCGAGACTTGCCCTATGACAGAAGCTCCTCCCACAGTAGGTGCACTTATGCGTCTTCTCTCCCTGGGGGCTTCTCTCGCTTGCCACAAGGGTTGAGCTTTCACCAAAGGTTTCCACTCGGTACTGCAATTGCCCTGGTTTCTCAAGCAGGTGGATTATGCGAATGTCTGAGCTCCACCTGGAGTCTCCTCTGAGGTCACTCTGGGCCTTTTCTCCCTTGCCATGCAGGGTGTTATTCTGGGCTATGGCCACTTGCCTCTGAGAGCCCCCTTCCGAACAAGAAAGGGTTTCGGCAAAACTCTTTGTCATATCCTTTCCCTGCTCCTTTTCTGACTCTCGCAAAATCTGAAGACTTGTGGCCTCGTTGTGATACTGGAATATGTCGCCTCTTCCTAAGGAGCGCTTTTCTGGTGCCACCTGCACAGAACATCCATGATGAGGCTCCTTCATCTTGTTCTCGCGCATTTGCCCATCAACTACAAGAATAAGCAGAATGTGGTGCCCGTCACATTTAAAATTAAAGCAAAACTGGGTCCCCCCATTTTTCTATCCCTCCCCCAGGCATTCTCATCTCTAGAGAGCAGATGACGTCCCATGGCACAGGTGGAAGTCCTTGCGCCAACAGTATGACTTCCTTAGATACAACAACCCAATCAAATTTCCATCATTCTGATGCAATCTGAGTCTTACCCCTTGTGTCCTTACCTCCTTTTCTTGCCTGTTCAGTAGCCTGGCAAACCTGCCTCTGCCAGGTGTCCAAGGGCAAGACCTGGCTGGCCTCAGAGGAATCCACAGCCGTTATGATCCCCTGAGGTCGAGACATCTGAAGCTGCAATTAAAGAAAAGTCAAGGCATTAGTGCTCCAAGAGAGGCAAATATTTGGTTTCTCCTCAAAAAATCCACTCAGTATGGGGTTCCCTTGCACTTGGTCGAGAGACTACAGGTAATGCAGAATGTTGTTAGGAGACGCCCTGTTTCCTTCACAGAATTAATCCATTCCCAGAGGGTTTAACTACCAGTCCCTCTTCCCAGGGAACTCTGGGAATTGTAGGGGAATAGGGTCTCCTAACAACTTTCAGCATCCTTAACAAACTACACTTCCCAGGATTCCTTGGGGGGGGGAGCCATGGCTGTTTAAAGTGGTATATAACGTGCAGGAGGGTCATCTCTACAGCTGCTGCCAGTCAGTTGTCAGCAGTACTGAGCCTGACTTGGTATATTCCTGTATTCCTGTTTCCATAGAGGAACTTTATCCCAGCTGACTTCACCATAACCCCAGAAAGCTAGCTGCAAAAATATAATCTAAAATGCTAGTGGCAACAGTATCTCTTCAACTCCAATGCCATTTATCTAACCATCCGAGCTGTAACTGGATTGGCACCAATCAAGTAATGCAAAAATCGGGGCAGCCACTCTCTTCTGAATCCACCTTCCAGGACCACCAGAATGACCCTCATCGAACTCCCCTCACCTCTCCTTCCTGTTTCACCATGTTCTGCTTCTGCAACAGGAAATTCTCTGCCAAGGCCACCGCCTGGGCGCAGGTTTCAGGCCTGCCTTCCCTGACCCAGCTCTCCATATCCTGAGGCAGGACGGTCAGGAACTGCTCCAGGATCAGCAACTCCAAGATCTCCTCCTTGGTGTGTCTCTCCGCTCTCAGCCACTGGCAGCAAAGTTCCCTCAGCCGGCCGTAAACGCCTCTGGGCCCCTCTACTTCCTGGTAGCAGAACTGCCTGAAGTGCTGGCGCTGCTTCTCCCTCAAAGTGGACTCCCCTTGCAAGATGGCTGCCTTCACCTTCCAAAAGTCTCCCCTGTCCTGGGCACTGAGGCTGCTGAAGGCCTGCTGGGCCTCTCCGCTGAGGGCTGGCAAGAGCAGAGTCACCCACTTGTCCCGAGGCCACCGGCAGGCTGAGGCTACTTGCTCAAAGGAGGCCAGGAAGGCCTTAGCATCTTCCCATGGGGAGAGCCCCTCTGATACCTGATGATTCCCCCATCCTGAGTGAGGGGCCTGCAACGTCTTGAGGAACTCCTGCCACTGGGCTTCCCAGCATTCCTGAAGCTCCTCTTCTGGTTCATGTTTCACCTGCCGTGGATAGACCGTAGCTTGTGATTCTCCAATCCCCTTGATGCATACAAGGTGTGGGGCTTTTGTTCCCCCCAGATCTGTCCACAATTTGACGTTGGGGGTGTTGTGCTCTCCCTTCTGCAATCCTGGGGCCTTTGCTGCCCCTTCATCCACAGACATGTTCACCTCCACTCTCAAGGTCTCCATTGAACTGTTCAGATGTAAGGAGGAATTCCCAGCCTCTGGTGGGCTTTCTCTAAATCACTCCTCACAGTCCATGAATCTCTTGCTATATTACAGTCTTCTAGGAAACTATAAGTTGCAGGGTGTTGCAGGCTTCTCCTGAAAGGGAACAAGATTTATGGGAACCACAGGCACAGCAACTGATATTCCTGCCCTCACAAAGTGTCTGGACCTTCCTGATAAACTACGGTAGCTCTCTGGGTGCAAGGAGCTTAGAACAGACTAAACACTACTGTCCTAAGAGACAGCTCCTTTCTTTTAATGTTATTTACCCATCATTTTCAAATGGTTTATTACTGTTGCAAGGTGCGTCGAGCTCAACACTATTGTTGGAAAAGTGTGTTCCACACATCTAAAATCAAATCGAGATTGACAGAATTTCAAGATGATTCTTATCCATTATTTCAGGATTATTTCTCTGCAACTGTCCAGAAAGACAGGCCAATATAAATAGCCCCAGAACTGATGGAGAAGAATGAAGGATGGGCAACTAAATCAATGGAACTGTGGCACACTTTCCATTATATGTTATGGTATGAGCAACTTGCAGAGGTTAAATATAAATTTGAGGTATGACTGTGTTTCAGAGGAAATAAACTCTAACATGGATTATTTATTCTTAAACAATGCAAAATAAACTCATCACTGGTAACGATATTAACTGCAGATAACACAATTCAATTCCCTGACAGAGTTCCCTGACAATTCCCAGAGTTTCCCAAGAAAAGGGGCTGTTTATACTAATATGGAACTGTAGCTCTGTGAGATGAATAAGGGGCAACTCTCAGCACCCTTTAGAAACTACAGTTTCCAGGATTCTTTGACAGAAAAAAATGGTAGTTTAAAGTGGTACAATCCTATTTTAAAATGTATGATGTGAATGGAGCCACAGAGACGGAAGGGATCTTCCTCTCATCTAGTCTAACTCCCTGATTAGTGAAAGACATAAAATGCAGCTACAGCAGTCTCCCTGACAGGCGGTTGCTATTAAATACCTCCTGTTAAGGGGAACACACCACCTCTCAAGGAAGAAACAGGCATTCCCTCAAATAATAGATTTCTCTTTCAGTGGAAAACTTCACTCTAATGTCTATCTAAGGTTGGCTGTAAGCAGAGGAGCCCAATCAGGAAAGCTGAAGAAAAGGCGGCAACTCAGGCTTGCCAACTGACCAGTGGGAGAAAAAGCAACAACCTGCTCCTGTGTAGTTTAAGTGGTGTGGTACTGCCATGCGCTAACAGTTGAGGCTGAAGCTGCTGTTCCTAGACACAGCAACAAAATCTGTGCAACGCCTAGCAACCTTACGTAGCTTCTAGAAAGATGCTGGTTTGAGTCCACCCAGGGACAACTGTGCACAGAATTACTGCATTGCAGAGGGTCGGACTAGATGACCCTTGGGATCCCTTCCAGCTCTAGAATTCTGTGATTCTATGATTTAGTGTGTACACATGTGACATCTTTCCACTTCTGCACTAGCATGCACTTTGCAGCAGGGATTTGGGGGTGAGAAACCCATGGGGCCCTCCAAATGCTATTAGGACTCCAACTCCCATCAGCCCCAGCCAGCACAACCAATAGTCAGGAATGATGGGAGTTGTAGTCCAACAACATCTGGAGGACCACAGGTTCCCCCACATTGCTCTTTAGCAGGCTGTTTGGAATTGGTTTGATTTGGGAAGCTTTTAATGTTTAACAGACCACTGTATTTTAATACTTTGTTGGAAGCCGCCCAGAGTGGCTGGGGAAACACAGCCAGATGGGCAGGGTGTAAATAAATTATTATTATTATTATTATTATTATTATTATTATTATTATTATTATTATTAGGAGAGAGGTTGAATCTTGTTGCTGCCGCCCCATTGTTCTCCCAGGATCTGGGATTGCAGCAGTAGTTTCATTGTTTTCCCTGCAATTTTGCATTCTCTATCTATCCAACTGCAGCTTCCTCCTGCCCCCTCCCCTTTTAAGCCCCCCCCCGCCCCATTTTCACTCACCTCTCCCTCGCAGCCTTGGCACTGCTGCACACTTCTCTCCCGGCTTGGCAGCCTGTTCTCTGCAGCAAGAAGATATTCAAAAGCCAGTTTCCCTCCAGAGGGGAGCAAGAGGGGAGGGGGCAGGAAGTGGATGCCCTTTGTTTACCACAAAGAGATAGGTGCTTGAAAGGAAACAAGTATTTAAAAAAAACAAAAAATCCAAAGCAAGAGCCTTCATTTCCGGTTCTCCTTGGACTTCTTCATCTGAGGAAAAGTGCAGGGCATCCTTGGCTGCAGTTCTTGTTCTTATTTCAAAATAAATCAGGCTGGAAGGGTGAAAAAGTCTCTTTCAGAACAGGCTAAAGAAACAACCTCATTGCACAGCACAGTGGCATTCGCACCCACGCCATGTGGTCACAGCCACCAACTTGGACAGCTCCAAAAGGGATGAGAGAAACATGGGAGTTGGAAGGGGTTCCCTAGGGGTCATCTAGTCCAACCCCCCACAATGCAGGGATCTCCACTAAAGCATATAGAATCATAGAGTGCTGAGACAACTTCAAAAGTTTCAGCTTTTAAATGCGTTGCTGAAATTTTTTCTACTCCGCCAGGCCTGTGCAGGCAAATAAGAATGCATCTTTGCACAATGATTACAGTGGTACCTCGAGTTACAGGCGCTTCAGGTTACATACACTTCAGGTTACAGACTCTGCTAACCCAGAAATATTACCTTGGGTTAAGAACTTTGCTTCAGGATGAGAACAGAAATTGTGCTCCAGCAGCAGGAGGCACCATTAGCTAAAGTGGTACCTCAGGTTAAGAACAGTTTCAGGTTAAGAACGGACCTCCAGAACGAATTAAGTACTTAACCCGAGGTACCACTGTAATTGATTATTGCTTTCATTTTTTCATGGTTTTCACTGTATGGTTTTGTGTGTCTTTGTTGCAAACCACCTCATTATCTTTTTGAAATATGAAATAGCGATATCAGAGAGCCAGTGTTGCGTAGTGGTTAGAGCGTCAAACGAGGACCTTCGGAGACCTGGGTTCAAATCCCCACTGAACCATGAAGCTGACTGAGAGACCTTTGGCCAGCCACAGCCTTCTCTCAGCCGATCGTACCTCACAGGGTTGTTGTGGGGATAAAATGAGGAGGGGGAGAACCGTGTGGTGCCCCCTCTCCTTGAGCTCCTTGGAGAAAAAGGTGGGATACCGTCAATGCAGTAAATATAAATAAATAAAATCCATTGGGGATAATGGTCTCGGTCTGCCAGTCCTCACCTGCCTGCCTTCTTAATGCATAACCAGTCCAGGGGTTGGTCCTGCCGTTCAGTCTCAGTGTTGCACTTGTGCAACTCACCAGAGAAGAGGACCAGGGACAAAACTAGAATTAGTTGCCTCTGCCTGTCAGTGGCTTCGGCTGCTGTTTTGGCTCCCTGCCTTCTTCCCCAGGGAGCACCAGCCACTATTGCAATGGCTACTAGCTTGGGAGGGCTCTGTTCCGCCTCTGAATATCAATTGCTGGAAATCACAGGGAGGGAGGGCTTGGTTGTTGGGCTCACGTCCAGGCTTCCCAGTGCAACATCTATCTGGCCACCGTAAGAACAGGGTGCTGGACTATGGTGGCCTATGTCCTGCTGATCCAACCAGGATTTTTCTTACGCATACACCAAATTATTTTAAACCCCCCCCCCCCGATTCCTGTTGAGCATGGGAAGAACGAGCAGAAAATGTCCTTTTTTAAAAATAAAAATTTCATTCAAAAGAAAAATGAATAAGAAAATGTCAAATCTGACAGAGCTTTTCCCTACGGGGGTTTCTTGTATAACTCTTCGTTCCAAATAATATGCCAGAAATAAGAGAAGTTTGGAGGTGTTACCGGAAAAATCCGAGGGCTCCCTTGGACAAACATTTAAAGACACCAACCAGGATAACTTGGAGCAAAACAGCAGCCTGTAGGCTTGGCCTTTATTGAACTGTTGCAACAGGGTGCTCCCCTCACTTGCAGGTGAGAGGAAAAGACCCAGAAAGATGGTCTGCAAGACCTTATAAAAACTTTTGAAATTCCCATCCTCCAGGTCAAGCCCACCCCCAGAAACATCATGAATACATTACAGAAGGGGTTGACATCATGCATACATTACAGAAAGGAGGGGTTGACATCATGCATACATTACAGAAGGGGTTGACATCATGCATACATTACAGAAAGGAGGGGTTGAGGGAGGAGTTGTGGTGGTAACCTGAGTGTCTTGTCACCTGGCTGGTTCCTCCTTTCCCCCCTCCCCATGAGTCACTTCCAGGAGACAAAGGGGAGTTTGCAGTTTCCTGCCCCCAGAGGGGAGATCTGATTATTGTCCTTTGTTTCAGTCCATGCTGAATCCACTACCATATGCAACTTCTTTGTGATTTTGATTGTCTTCTGTCTGGGATTATCAGGGTTGGCATAGCAACTGGGCAGGGCTCCTGTGGATGTGCTGGGATGGTGAAGGGATTATGGCTGACCAGAACCAAGCCACCCCCCTTTGATAGTCCTTGTCATATGGAGTAATATAAAAATGGAACAGTGCAAATCTGATGTATGGTTGATTTTCTATGAATTTATAACAGAAATGTGGCGTATGTAGGTGTGAGTGAGTGTGTGTGTGTGTGAAGTTTGCACAAACAGAATGATTGGGGTGGGGGGTTCCTGTTACAGAGGGTAGAATCAACCTTGCCAAGTTTTGTGTTGTACTTTTTTCTTTTCTCTGCTCATTTCAAACTGTCTGCTCTGTTAGACCTTTATAGAAAAGAACACCTTAATTCCTAGGTAATTTCCTCCTGCTTTTCTACCAACTGCAACTGTGAGTCAGAAATGTTGCTGGAGAACCATAAAAACTGCAGCCCTTTGGGGTTTTCAGTGCATCGGATTTCTCAGGTTTCCAGGCCTTGCTAGGAATCCGAGTAGAATTCTAAGGATTTAACCCTTCAGCTGCCTTCTGGGTGGAGAGGCTGGGCTGAATGTATCTTGTTTTTTGGAAGCCTCCCCCATCCCTATCGGTTGTTTCAAAAAGCACATGTTGCAGCTGCATCTTAGCTATGTGAACTTGGAACTGGTTTGTTTTTGTTTTTGAGCTGCTGCTGTGAATGGCCTAACAATCTGTGCACTTTCCTGTATTTCATTTCCTTTGGATCTCTGCCTACTCACACACAAACTCATGAAACACTCTCTCTCTCTCTCTCTCTCTCTCTCTCTCTCTCTCTCTCTGTGTGTGTGTGTGTGTGTGTGTGTGTTGATAAGAATTTAGCCAGGCAACAGGCACATTTCGCACTTGGCTATTTGCCTGACATCTGCATCATCTAGAGATCATTGGATCCTCAGTTTTCACACACTAATACCACATCCTGTAGAATTCTATCAGATAAATTCTATCTGAACAATAAGATTGATTCCCCACCCCCCACCCCGTGCAGCCTGCACAGGAGCAGTAAACAATATTATAGTTAATTGTTGTAGCTTGTCTTCATTTACCCCACCCCACTGCCCTGCCCACAGTTGTGAAGAATATTCTCATGTTATGAATGGTCCATGTCACCATTAAGAAAAAGAGGTAGGAATAGGCAAATATATACGTGGACTGTCCCTGGATCAAGTAACTTTTCTTCTTTAAATTCTCAGTGTTCTTAACCTAGCTCAAAGTTGTCATCTGAACTAGTCAGATGTTTATCTGAGAATCAACCAGTGTCAGTCCATCATTTGAAAAAATGGCAAGCAGACATTCTGTTCTGGTGACTGTAACCTTGGTTTAAGGAGTCATTTGGCACCTATCTTATATATCTGAGTTTCTGACAATGGTTGTCATATATATGGCATATATGCTCCCTTTTGCCCCGCTGTGGGAATCGCTTGCAGAAGACTGCAGTGCCTGGAGACAGACAGTCAAGTTGTGTATCCATAGCAATGATCCGAGGAGAAATGACGGCTGGGAGGAGTGCAAAGAAATACTATGGGTGCATCTGCAACAGCACAACTGGACGTCTTCATCTTCCCCAGCTGCAACAAAACATGTCTCTCCCATATCATCTCTAGAGCCACAACAGGAGCTGCGACATTCCAACAGCTTGACCTCACCCTCAAAGGAGCACTCCTTCATCGGCTCCCAAGATGGATGGATGCCTCTACTGAGCCTTCAGTGTGGCAGGCCTTGCCCTGTGGAATTCCCTGCTAAGTAGAGGTTCAGCAGGAATCATGTTGTCTTCTCTTAGACATCTCCTAGAAGCAGTGTTATTGAGACAAAGCATTGCAATTTTCACCAACCAGTATTTATTGATGTTTTCATAGCTCTTATTGTAATTTCATATGACTTACAAATAATTTTAGGAATGTGTGGTGTGCAGGTGTAGGTGTGGGTATAAACCCAAAACACTATCCAATGGTCTTTTGATGAAGGGTAGTATAGAAATTTCAAAAATAAATGAAGTGGCACAGGTTTGCCCTGTAAGAACTAGCCCTGAGGGACACTTTGTTTGCCTCTGTCAGGTTGTCCTTAAAAATCAGAGGCAACAAGAGTGCTTCAGTAAATTTTCTAGAAAAGAAAATTCAGCTTGAGAATGGGCCATATTTATTTTTTAAAGTTTTAAACACAAGGAATAACACACATCATTTCCATATACAGCATACGGAATGCACCATTGTTGTCAGAAATTCAGGGCTGGGTAAGGGTTGAATGGGTTAAGAACATAAGAAGAGCCTTTGCTAGCTCAATATAGCCCAACATTCTATTTCCCACAGTGGCCAATCAGGCGCCTCTCACTCTTGTTCGCTCGGCAACAGCTATTCACTGACATATACTACCTCAGATTCTATAGAGGTACCAAAGAGCCATCATGACTGCCTAAGCCACCACAGGCTTATCCTCCATGAATTGAACCTACCTTTTTAAAGCAGTCCAAGTTGGTGAAGAACTTAACCCTTTTGCTACTCCTGAATCTTCCAACATTCAGCTTCTTTGGATGACTACAAGTTCTCATATTATGAGAGAGGGAGCTAACTTCTCTCTATCCACAATGTGCATAATTTTATATACCTCTACTGCGCTCCCCCCAGGGCCTTTTTTTTCTAAACGAAAAGGACCCAGACCTATCCTCATAAGGGACTTGCTCCACCCCCTTGATCACTTTGGTTTCGCTTTTCTGAACCTTTTCCATCACAGATTTGTATAACAACATTGGCAGTTTTATTTCCAATTCCTTTCCTAATGATTCCTAGCATAGAATTTGCCTTTTTTCCACTCTAGGTTGGCATTTTCGTTGCACTTTCCACCACGACCTCAAGGTCCCATTCCTTGCCAGTCATCGACAGCTCAGATCCCATCAGTGTAAATTGATCCCAGTTTGGATCAATAATTTTCAAGCTCTGCACAGTCCCTTT